ATAAACCAAGAAGTGAGCCATTGTCTATTACGTGATGATCATTAGCAAACCAGTGCTAGGCACAGGTTCCATAAACCCCTCTTAGCTGGGTATGTAAAGGAAAAGCCCAGCTCTCTCATGGAAAATAACACTCTTGCCCTGTTTGGCTGAAGGGCTTTCAGTTACTGACAGTTCAATGTAGGAAACTGCAAATCCGAAGAATCTGCTGCGAACATAGGATTGTCAAAGATGATTTTATATATATATATATATATATATACTGTACACGTATTTTTATTTTGATCTTCATGAGGCATTGGCAGGTCCCTTTAATAAATGCATCTATTATGGGTTTAAGCTTAAAAATGTTTGTGCTTTGGTAGAACTCAGATTGGTTTATCGGCCATGTACTCCAGTAATTAAGAGGTCAAAGATAATTTTATAGCAAAGGTTTATCTCTAAACCTCTCTCTCACTCTTGATAACTATGAACGTGAGAGAGGCTAAGAGATTAGACATGGACAGAGTTATGAGCTTGTACCATATGAAAATGCTCATTCAGGAGCGAACAATTGCCCTTTTCAAAATTATTGCTTTTTATGATGTAATCACGTCAAAAACTTGGAACTAGCTGCTATTTTAGTGAAATACAAAGCGTACGGTGAAAATATAAATAAGTAAATACTGGTGCTGCTATCACCTTAGTGGGCCACAATAACCACTAAAATACCACAAGTGACAAATAAATACAGTTGGTGAGAGCACACAGAACTCAAAAAATATATATTACCCCCAGTAGAGTTACTCTCTGAAAGAAATACAGAAAAATAACATAGGGTAATAACGTAATGAACAATAAAATAATGTATGGATAATATGCACTCACATACGAAGAGCCAATTACAAGCTGGCTATTTTAGTGCATACTCGTAAATACACATGTTACTGTCATACCTTATATGCCAGTTGTTGTGAAGGGATCATTGGAAGAAAATTGAAATATACCTTGGGTTAAAATTAATAGCGTAAGTGAAATGTATGTGTGTATATAGCTTAACCTGTTTTTCTTGAAATTCATATGTATAGTCAATGTATCCCTAAATAGATATCCCTGAATAGAAAGTTGTTTATCTCATTGGCAAGAACATGTTTTCAAGATAGTGTACTATTGAGCTTTGTATGTACTTGTACTTAATGAAGAAAAAATGTGTTTGATTGAGTAAACTAGTCATTTAAATCAATATATAATTTGTGGTTTAAGTATCTAGGATTTAATGAAGACAGTGGTTGGAGCAGTTATAATTGATCAACAAGAGTAATTGGACAGCATACATTGTATAAGCAAGAGACAGAATGGATATGGCACAAATGCCCTATCATAAACACAACATCTCCTTTCCCATTTGGAAACTGCTGCAATAATAATTAGGTAAAATACATCTAATCAAGGTATTGGGACATAAGTACTTTATGGAATGTACACAGCCGGATTATCTATTAGGCGACCAAGGCGGCCTGTTTGGGCCCAGACCTGTGAATATGATCGGGTCCTCCTCAATCCTGCAGGAAGATCAAAAGTCAATTTATTGAGGGAAGATTGTGGTCTGTACCAATATCAGATACAAAACATTATAAGAATGCTCTTGTGATTCTCAATGACTCAGAGCACTGGAACTATGTGGGTGCTCTTACGTGGTCTGTGTCTAATATTGGTCCAGTTGATGAAGCTCCCCTACTGGACCACCTGGGATCCAGCTCACCCTCCACTGGAAAACAAGGAATACTGCTCCATGGACCACTAGGGAAGGTAAGCAAGGGGACTAGTAAAACACACACACAACACTCATACACACTCAGATTCCCCTACACACAGAAGCACAAAATGTAGCTACAAAAACACTCAACCAGTGCATAGACAAACCCAGGCCTTCATACAGCTCTCAAACTCCTTCACTTATATGACATTCAGCCACTACACACACTTTCAAACACACCACTCACAGAAACCGAGGCTAGGGCTCTAGAAGGGGGCACCAATTTGGCACCTTGCCAGGGTCCTGGGCAACCTAAACCCAGCTCATGGAACAACAGGTTAAACTTTATGACTAGATAGGGATTCTCCATAGAATTTAGAGCTTTATATTTTATTTAACTCAATGGCGTGACATTTTGCACTAACCAATTGGAAAACCATTCTAAAATAATGAACGGATTAACAAACAGTGGTAAACATTTGGTAGTTCTGTAATAAAGTACCAGTTCATCGGGAGTCGATAAATATAGAAAAAGATTCTCAGATTTCTCTAGTCTAGAACATTGTATTATTTGATCCTTCTCACTATTCTCAGGCCTACTCAGTTGTTGATCAAACATTTGCATTGCAGCATATGAAGCATTAATACCCCATATTTTTTATTTGTTACGGTTATATAAAAATATATAAGTTGATGACTGGATGGCTGCATTAAAAACATGTATTACTTTTGTATCATAGTAAAAAATCTTTATGCAACCCACTGATAAAAAAATCAAAAAATGGTTTCAATTCTGATAACAATCTAGAGAATTAGGTTTTGATTTGCTTTCTCTGTTAAATTAATCTTTTTTTTATGTATGTAGGAGTTGCTTGATATTGAGGGCTGACACATTCCTATAATTACTCTAAATGTTAGCATTATGTGTTAGTCTCCGGGACTCTTATCAACACAACAAGAATAATTTTTGAGACCTTGGTCAATGTTGATGTTTGATAATGAAGTTACATTTTTTGCTTCCTTGTTTTATTCCATGTTTTTGTATGTGTATGTGTATAAAATGTTGAGGAGATTGTCCTACTACTTCAATAAAAAGTAAATACAGAAAAGAACAATCTAGTACAAGGCAGAAGACACATGTTTGTAACAGACATACCAAGCGGATATTGTCATAATAATCATAGTCACGATGTGCGATTGATCTCAATGAAATAGACAAAGTCAAACAATGACGGTAACAGACATGGTTAATCATCATTTAATTCTTATTACTGTGTATTTCCATTGCGGAATGATTCTAATTAGTCTCTGAGGAAGAAAAATAAGAAAATAGTATTATCAAAGTTACCAGGAATCACAAATATTGAGATAGGTTATATACATTCTGAATGAGTTGATGGCTGGAATAAATAATGGACCAATTAAGATTGGCATGGAACCAATATGAAAAAGCTTTCTACAGATGGTTGTGGTGATAACCTGTACAGAGATATCTGGGTAGAGATTCAAAGACTTAGAAAGAAACTAAAAGCCTTACCTGTCATAAACTCCGACACCAGTACACAAGCAAATACCTCAAACAGAACTGTGCAAGCTGATTTATCTTCAGACGCAGAGGTATAGAGTACCAACAAAAATGGAAAAGGTGGTGTATTGCGATGTTCCACAATCCATTCTTTCAATTTTCAATGAGTCCTTCCTACTTACTGTTTATTGCACAGACACTGTAATAAGTAAATTATAAATTTAGGATCGTAAATATTACATGATTTTATTTTATATATTTCGCCTGTGGTATTACTTTTAAAAAATTGTCACGGTTCCTATGTACATTTATAAAGTTTTTTTAAACCGTAGCTTGATTTTGTGTTTTAACTTATTCTGTTATCTCTTTTGAGTTTTCGTAAGGCACACTGTGTTAGAACACACATTTTACAAAGTAGTCCAGCACCGAATGTCTTACTAAAAGTCAAAGAGATGATAAGAATAAGTGAAAACAGAAAATCAAGTTAGCTTTTCAAACAATGTTATAATTGTTGTAAGGCTTGCAATTATTTTAAAAGTGATAAATTTACAAAGTAGTACTATAGGCAAAATACATTAAATACAATTATATATTTGGTAACACAATTTCAGAGACTGAGGGAGGATCTTTGTGTCCCAATTTGGTGGATATTTGTTTGACCTACACTATTACTACTTATATTATTTACATTATTGATTTATTAAAACCTTTTGATGGAAACTGATCTGTGCAGCTAAAAGGGAAATTTTAAGGCATGCAAGATTTGTACAGTTTTTAAAAAAAATAAGCACAACAAGGACTGAGTTCACCTGAATTATTCTAATTATTTTTCTATTTATTAGAATACCTGCAAAGCTCTCTTATAGACCTTCTGTAGGTAAGGAAAAAACACAAAGTAACCAACAAAAGAACTGCTTCTAGATCAAAGGGAATATAGGTAATGCTGAATTAATTTGCTGAATACACAGCATTAAAATGAATAAAGTAAAACACAAAAGTGTGTTGTAAGATAATATGGCTAAACATAGCTGTAAATAGTCAACTGAAATTGATGGCCAGATAAGACACCATACAAATGTAACATTGTTGCAATGATTATGGTGGATAGAATGTCCGGCATCCACTTTCAATGGCTGATAACTGCAGCAATTTGTAAACTAAACACAATATATTTCTCTTTCACCTTTCATTGTTGGAAACACTAAACAGTGAACACTCAACAGCTGCTAAATGTCATCGAAAATAAATTACCAAGAAACTATTGCTGCCCAGTTGCTAAATAAAAATAAGGGGACGTGACCCCCTGTGTCCCCACTGTGAGCATCAGTCTCTGTTATTGCCCTGCCCCCAACCATAGCCGGCAGGTGGAACTATAGCATTAGCTAAAAAATTATATTCCGGAAGAAATAAGGCGTAAACGCACAATTCTTCAATACTAATCCAGGGTTCAGATCCCAATGTATAAGTAGTTAACCAAAAATTGATCCAGGCACTTAAAGTTAGTGAGAGGCAGATTTAATGAAGATCAAACTTGATATGGATCTTGCCTAAGGTCGAAACGTTGCTCCTGTATTTGTTACACTGATCTTTATTTTAATCTGCCTCTCACTACCCTCGAGTGCCTGGGTCAATTTTTGGTTAAGTAAATTCTCTCTCTCTTTATATATATAGATATAATAGAATGCCCATCACATCATGTTGAGTTTTGCTACAATTTTCATGTCCATTTTCCAAGTACCTTCCAAACAATATAACCAAATATATAGCCAGTCATTCAGGTTACCTGAACTAAAGAATTATGCCCACATACCAATACAATGTTTGCATTTTACTAGAATTATGGAACTATACACTCACCAATATGCCAGAAGTTTCCTTAGAAATACTTATGTATTTTTTCGTCACTCGTACTGTAACATTTTACATCATAGGACAACATTTACTGGTCATCTATAGTGATGTACCGAACGGTTCGCTGGCGAACGGTTCCTGGCGAACATAGCATGTTCGCGTTCGCCACGGCGTGCGAACATATGCGCGGTTCGACCCGCCCCCTATTCGTCATCATTGAGTAAACTTTGACCCTGTACCTCACAGTCAGCAGACACATTCCAGCCAATTAGCAGCACAGCCTCCCTAGCAGACCCTCCCACCTACTGGACAGCATCCATTTTAGATTCATTCTCAAGCTGCATGCTTAGTAAGAGGAGGGAAAGTGTAGCTGCTGTTCATAAGATAGGGAAAAGCATAGCTAGGTTAGGGATAAGGGTATGCTTTTTTTGGATTTTTTTTTTCTATCTAATGTAAATGCACTTAGTTGTCTGCCACTGCTGCCAGCTTCTGTGTCAGGCTCACAGTGCCCATTTCCCCAGTCAGTGCCACCAATTACATCTGGTGTCACAATAGCTTGGATTTAAAAACAAAAAACTTTTTTCACTGTTATAGATTGAATAGCAGTCAGTGTCTGCCACTGCTGCTAGCTTCTGTGTAGGCTCACAGTGCATACGTGCCCATTTCCCCAGTCAGTGCCACCAAATACATCAGGTGTCACAATAGCTTGGATTTAAAAAAAAAAACTTTTTTCACTGT